TGCCTCCATATCTTGAATTATGTGATCATTCTTAATGCATATTAATAGACTGAATCATGCAGTGAAAGAACCACTCTAAAAGCGCACATGCACTAAAGCCTGTGTTGGTCTACTCTAACCAGACTTCATCTCGTCGAGTATGCGTGCCTTTGTAGGTGTGTTTTGTTTAGCTTTTGCAATATACTCGATAATGTCATGTGATTGTATTTGCGCTAAACCTGCGCAGATTTGGCCTGATTGAACTTACCCAAGAAATTAATGAGTGAACATAATTTACGAAAAGTAACCCGCCAAATTGGCTAGTGATTTGACAGCGTTACCCGCCACAGCTGATTTTTACCCCCATTTGGCGGGTTGGCGGGTGTTAATTTCAAACCCTGATTGTAATGGCAGTAACTTTTTAAATTGTTACAAAAAAAATCTATTTCAAATAAATGCAGTTCTGACACTGAAGTGAAATAATAGGAATTATGCATCATTAAAGGTTTAAATCTGTGATTTTGGTGGATGTGATTTATTAAATGCAGCAGTATGTTTGCTGTATGCATGCAGTATACATCAAAGCACACTGTGCTGAATACAGTACCACAAAATTAAATGCACTTGACTCTACTTTCCATTTTCAGTGTGATGAATGACTACATGTATATTATTAGCTGTTAATCTTTTGACTCATTATTTAATCAGTCCACAATTAAAAAAAAAAAAAATTATATATTTAAGGGGTGGGGGTCAGCCTGTCAGTGCTCAGACCATACGCCGCACATACTTGCCTACAGTCAAACATGTTGGTGAGAGTGTTATGGTCTGGGGCTGCATGAGTGCTGCCGGCACTGGGGAGCTACAGTTCATAGCGGGAACCATGAATGCCAACATGTACTGTGACATACTGAAGCAGAGCATGATCCCCTCCCTTCAGAGACTGGGCCGCAGGGCAGTATTACAACATGATAACGACCCCAAACACACCTCCAAGACGACCACTGCCTTGCTAAAGAAGCTGAGGGTAAAGGTGATGGATTAGCCAAACATGGGCATCCTCAAACGGAAGGTGGTGGAGCGCAAGGTTTCTTAACATCCACCAGCTCCGTGAGGTCATCATGGAGGAGTGGAAGAGGACTCCAGTGGCAATCCTATTTTCACTTAGGGGTGTACTCACTTTTGTGGCCAGTGGTTTAGACATTAATGGCTGTGTGCTGAGTTATTTTGAGGGGACAGCAAATTTACACTTATACAAGCTGTACACTCACTACTTTACATTGTAGCAAAGTGTAATTTCTTCAGTGTCACATGAAAAGATATAATAAAATATTTACAAAAATGTGAGGGGTGTACTCACTTCTGTGAGATACTGTGTATGTATATATATTTTCAGATACAACTTGATTTGATAATTTGCATCTAATGTCATGAGATTTAAACATTTTGAGTTTGACTTTTAAGCATCCAAATGTACATAAATATACATGCGTTGCTTAGACTAAACGCATTTCACTTTTTATTTTGTAAAAGGGGGACTTAAAGTGTATAATTCTCTCTCCAGTCTTTCTCACGCTCATTTGTTCACTGTTCCTCACGTACACCACCCTGTCAGGCCATAGCTGTTGCTGAGGCACTGACAGGTTAATAATTAAAGTGAATGAGAACACGGGGACAACAAGAGCCGTACGTGCGGACGCACACACTCACACTCACAGCTGTGCGGTGGTCCTGGCCGATTGCCCTAGATTGCTCGCTTTGATCACCTCCACATGGGCAACACGGCTCCTACAGGTCACGATGGTGACAACTCTGTCACATTCCTGTGCTCTCCTCCCTCATACCTGTCTATCTGCCTTTACGTCTCTTTCATACATCTCTCCTCACTTCATTTTCTTATCAGTTCATTCCTTTTGAGTCCCCCCCCCCCCCCACCCGACTAATTTTTTACTCTCAGGATGTCAAAAGATCTGCTGTCATTATCATTTTCCCTTTTTACAGCAGCGCTCAAGCCATCAGGCTTTATTATAGAGTACAGTAAGCCTAATCCTTCCCAGAACGCAGCAGTCAGTCAGTCACCGAGAGAACACACCGATTTCTTGTAGTCTGTGAGGAATGTTTCTTAAGCTGACATAAAAATGTGATCAAAGTTATGAGCCAGTAACACTTCGAACATAAAGTTTGGTGTGTCCAGTTTTACTTTAGCTACATAAGATTGCGATTTGAAAGCCTTTTAGTGTTCCTGGAACAAGACATCAGACCCTGCAAATCCTGTATGACGTGAGCTTTGTGACTCTTGTACACCCTGGAGCTGCAAGACCAATTTTTGCATTGTAATGGTCTCGAGGGCCATCATCATGTGCTCTGACTCACTACTCTCTCATGTTAAAGAGGTCATATCATGTTTTTTTAATTACATTTTTCCCCCTGAGGTATGTTTAAAGGAATTATCCACCCAAAAATTGAAATTCTGTCCACATTACTCACCCTCAAGTTGTTCCAAACCTGTATGACTTCCTTTCTTCTGTGAAACATGAAAGAAGATAGTTATTCAACAAAAAACAAACAAAAAAAACTGGTTCCTACAGTGATATGTCCCATATAGCAGTCAATGTGTTAAATAAACTGTATGTGTGTGTGTGTGTGTGTGTGTGTGTGTATATATATATATATATATATATACAGTACATACACACACACACACACACACGCATATATTTGGTGAACTATCTCTTCAAAGTGTTATTACTTCAAAAGTTTTTCTGCACCAACAGTCATAATTTAGTTTTCATGAGCATTTTCTACTTTTCCTTAACTTTTTTTTGTATCAAACAGCCCATTTGTTTTTTTGCTGCTTTGTCTTTAAAATTGCGGTCACATTAGCAGACTTTTGGGGAAATTTTGCAGGCAGAAAAGTCTCTTTTCTGTTGTCATTAGCGATATACTCTATAGAGCACAACTCACTCGGAAGTCACTTTCAAACCAATCAGCTTTATTTCAACTCTGTGAATCAGCGTGACAGACTTGAACTCATTGCGAAATCTGCATTGGGAAATCTGGCTGTAGAAGTTAATGTTGTTAATTGTATTTGCTTATCAGTCCATAAGTGTCTATAGGGGAAGTCGTGGCCTAGACGATCTTGGAGGTGAAGATGCTGGATGTGGAGGTCCTGGGCTTGTGTGGTTACACGTGGTCTGCGGTTGTGAGGCCGGTTGGATGTACTGCCAAATTCTCTGAAATGCCTTTGGAGATGGCCTATGGTAGAGAAATTAACATTCAATTCATGGGCAACAGCTCTGGTGGACATTCCTGCAGTCAGCATGCCAATTGCACGCTCCCTCAAAACTTGCAACATCTGTGGCATTGTGCTGT